AACCATCAAACTGATCAAAGTAGAATTTGTGTAAGCAAATCACCTGTTAGAAAGAGTATAAAAGGAATGCCAAACATAGAGAACCCTGTAAAATAAATAACATTTCATTCATCTATCAAATATAAATAATATATGGAAGCACATGTGTATAGTCTTATTCCAATGTATGAAGCCTACTGTGAAAATATTTGTTAGAATATAAATAATTATTTCTGGGCCACAACCATAAGCTTGAGCTTTTGGTTGAGTTGGTTCCTTGACATGGTATCGGAGCCTCGTTGACTAAGAGGTCACGGGATCGAAACTCAGCGCCACCCAGTTTAAAAAAATTAAGGTTTCACGTGCAAGGCTCGAAAAAGACTACGCCTGCACGTGAGGGGGCGTGTTAGAATATAAATAATTATTTCTGGGCCACAACCATAAGCTTGAGCTTTTGGTTGAGTTGGTTTCTTGACCATATTGAAGCCTACTATTTGAAAAGTTTGATGCCTACTGTGAAAATCTTTAAAATCTCTGCAACGCCCTTCAAAGGTAAAACAATTGTGTCTGTGTCAAAATAGCATGCTGGTTAACTATGAGCTGGAAAAATAACAACAAACTCAATAAAATCACATTGATTGGAGTCTGGATAGGATGTGTGCACACACACTTTGAGTCCCTTTCAATAAACAAAAGGAACATTGATAAACATGTAAAGGGAAAAAGGGTATCTACACATGCCACTGCAAGTGTGGGAGTGTGTAAGCTCTGTAGAAAAAGTGACCGCTGCCTACACATGCCACTGCATAGTACGGAGTATTTGTTTAGGGCAAGCAATACATAACTAATAAACATTTTTCCATAGTTTCATTTACAAAACACTTGTTCCAAAATTGTAAATAAATGACCCAAACCCGATAGTTTGATCATCAGACTTGTTATCCTTCATAATCTTTATAAATAAAATGGCTCTCTAGACCTGAAGCAACATCTAAAGGAAAACCATGGAAGCGGAATGCAAAAATTGGTAGGTAAGTGATTATTTCGTCCAACCGACGCAACTGGAAGGTTGCAGAATCTTAGATAGCTCTCCAGGCGGAAACAGAAATGGAATCTAGACGGACTACTCTCCCTCAAATCTGTCTGGGAACCCTATACAAAACCTAGTGTTGATTTGATGAAACTTTTTACAGAATAATAACGCAACCATGTTTGTTTCCTTCGAAGTCACCTAATCATCACATATCTCTATGTTTTCTCATTATCCAAGATTAATCAAAATTCTTTATAAAGGAGTAACTATGTTGTTTCTCTCCCAAATTAGATTTTGAAGGCTGCTTGGAATAACTTTAGAAAATGAATTTCTAACCAAATGCATTTTCAAAATTTAGATCAAATTATCATTGACAATGAAAATCAAGCACAACTCTGTGTCTTCTTTTTAACCATTCCCTATG